TCTCTTTCTAGGGATAAAAAGCCTATTAGGTAAACACCTAATTAAAAGTTTAAGAATACTTTCTCTAAGTCACAATACAAATAAGACCAAGTAAAATTTTGAGTACTCCATGTTTCCTCTCACCAGTGAGATCTGCAGCTTTAGCCCTAATACTCTATTTCAATGGAGGTAAAATTAAGGTTTCTCTTTAATCTTTTGGTATCCTGAATGCTTATAGGGACCTTACTTGTAACATCTGAAAGAAGAGAGCCACCTGAAAATCTTTTTTTTTTTTTTTTAACCTATACACTTATAGGACTTTCCTTAGTCTTATGTTTAGGATACATCTTATGGCACTGTTTCCTGATTTTCCTATCCTATTTACTTCTGCCCCACCTGCTTTTCCCAACTTGAATCCTTATACTGCAATTGAGAGAGCAGAATGCCAACATTAAAATATTATGACCCAACAGGAATCTTTCATTGAGCTAAGCTGTCATTTCTGAGCACTATCAATGGGACATAAGACATTGTGTTCAACATGTTGTGTACACAAGCATAAAAGATGTAAAAGGAGGTGGAAAGTAGAAGGATGAGATACAGAAGTGGTGCAATGATACAAAATCCACAAAAGTGGAATTAAAACTGCACTAATTATGTCCTTCAAGATTGTTTTGGCTATCCAGGGTCCCTTGAGTTTTCATATGAATTGTAGAATTTTTTTTTCTATTTCTGTAAAAAAAGGCCATTGGGATTTTGATAAGGAGGGCACTGAATCTGTAGATTCCTTTAGGTGGTATGGACATTTTAATATTATTAAGTCTTCAAATCCATGAATACAAGATGACTTCTCATTTACTTGTGTCGTCTTTAACTTCTTTGAGCAACGTTTTGTAGTTTTCAAGTGTGTGAGTTTTTCACCTCATTGGTTAAGTTTATTCCTAAGTATTTTATTCTTCTTGGTGTTATTACAGTAAATGGGATTATTTTCTTAATTTCCTTTTCAGATTGTTCATTGTTAGTATATAGAAATGTACCTGATTCTTGTGGGTTGACTTTGTATTCTGCAACTTTGCTGAATTCTTTTATTAGTTCTAGTTTTTGGAGAATTTTTAGGGTTTTTTACAATAAGATCCAAGATAATTTTACTTTGTAATTTGCATGACTTTTATTTTTTTCTGGCCTAACTACTCTGACTAGGACTTCTAACGTTATGTTGAATAGAAGTGATGAGAGTGGGCATCCTTAACTTGTTCCTGATCTTAAGAGAAAAAGCTTTCAGTCTTTCACCACTGAGTATGATGTTTACTGTGGGCTTTTCAAATATGGTTTTTACTATATTGAGGTAGTTTCCTTCTATTCCACTAATCAGTGGAATTTTACACTATGTAAAATCCATTCAGTGATGTAGAGCAGTAGTCTTCAAACTCTGTTATACCTACTCCTGAGATAATACGAAGGTTTTCCAAATATTATGTAAAACTATGGTATATTCGTATAGTTTTAAGGAATCAATATCTGGATCCTTAATTTGCATACACAGTGCTTCTTAAAAATGATCTTCCTGAGAACTATCATGTGGTCTAAATATGTGAGTTCTCCATTCCCAGCCTCTCTTTCACAACTACCTTTCTCTCACTGTTCGAAAGAAAGGCATACATCTCATTCATGTCACGATGGCACACAGTCTCAAGATATAGAAAACTTTTGGAGCACCACATAAAAAGATAATGTAAAATGTTAGGGCCTACCAAGATGTTAAATAAGACACTATTATTTAACATAAGATGCTATTTTCTCCCATTATATTTCATTAACCGATGTATTGCCAGTAAAATTTTACTTTTTTACTTAATAAGTATTTATCAACATTTGTGGTATATTTGTCACAGATGTTAAATAAGACACTATTATTTAACATAAGATGCTATTTTCTCTCATTATATTTCATTAACCGATGTATTTCCAGTAAAATTTTACTTTTTTACTTAATAAGTATTTATCAACATTTGTGGTATATTTGTCACTTTGACTGATTATTAATAACTGTAATGATAACACAATTCAGAGGAAAATGTTTACACTTTGAATCTTACAGTCATAGGAAATTTTTAAAAATAAAAAATTTCAATTCGTATACTTCTTTTAATCACAGAGACATATGATAGAGTAATAATAAAAAATTCAAGCATAAAACATGTTAGAATAAAATTTTGTGGGAATATCAAGGAGAAAGGGCCATTTAGATTTCATCGGCTATATTTAAAAGAATGATGAGACAGTTTTAAGAGATCAATATCTACAACAGACTGGAAATTTCATCCTTGGCATCTATTTAAACTTAAAAATGAAAAATGTTAGCTACTAACTTAAGAATGTGCGGGGACATGTGTAGTTTTTAAAACACCTTTAAAGGATACTGAAGCAAAAAATGACAGAGGACAAACTTCAGAAGCTCTTTCACAATGCAGAGATAAAAGGACAGAGACAAAAATTTTCAAGAAAAACAAGAGAGTTTGGAGATCTTAACAAAAGATGTGCTTTAGAAAGACACACAAACAACTATAACAAATGCAATCATTTACAGGGTGTAAACAAAACTCTAGAAAACCTTGAATTACCAAAACAAAAAACCACATAAAAACCAAACCAAAAACTTGAGTATAGGTATGAAAAAGGCTTAAGCTCGCTTTGTTCTAGAAGAATTAATGAACACTCCCACAACCTAGACATATCAGTACCTTCGCTTCCTCAAGTTCCTTATCAGCAGTCTCAAGCACTTCTTCTTTATGCCTTTCCAACTGCTGTGCTAACTGGTCTATTTCAGTTAATTCTTGGCAGAGTTTTTCATTTTTGTTACTTAAATTAACAACTTCAGTCGTCACTGTTTCCTTGGTTTCCATAAGCTCTTGGATATGCTTCTCCAGGTCTTTGTTAGCTTGTTGAAGAAAGTCAACCTACATTGAATTTGTAATTCATTATATATGAATTGGAAAATTATCCTAAGCACTGAACTTTCAAAATAATATTTCAAAAAAATACATTTTAAAAGATACTGAAGATTAAAACCACAGCTATTTTATTTTATTTTATTTTTATTTT